AGGAGACCTGAAGTCTGCGTGCACAGTCAGGTGGTGTAACTAGCCAACATGGGTTGCCTGTGGCCATCTGAAATCCCACAGCTTCATTTCAGGGCTGTGCTTTGCAAGGTTATTCTCGGTCCAAAATTAAAGCCAGAAGAACAACCACTGTGTCATTAACCAAGTGTGGAAGCACTAGCTGAATCCTCTCTTATAACCCTGCTGGAAAATCAAAGGATTGCTCAGTTTTACACAGAAGGGAACAGAGCCAAAGAAAAGAGAAGCTGCTCACCAAAATCTGTGTAAGAAAACTACTTGGGAATCCCTATGTAGCCTCCACAATCCCACGGCCATTCCCTCATCCCAGGTTATCAGACCTCTCTCTAGAAGTTAATACTGGGTCCAAGATGTGACCTACTTCTTTCATGGATTGCGTCCAGTCACTACCTTGCTCTCCTGCCCTACTGTCCTGGTTCCAGCAGGGATAGAGTTATTTTCCTTCCTAGTAGCTGATACAGTGCTGTGTTTTGGATTTAGGATGGGAACAAAATTGATAAGGCACCGATGTTTTAGTTGTTGCTAGGTAATGCTTACACTGGCCAAGGACTTTCTAGTTTTTCATGCTCTACCGACTGAGAAGGCTGCAGATGCCCAGGGTGCTGGGAGGGGGGACAGCCAAACTGGCCAAAGGGACATTCCATACCATGTGACGTCATGCTCAGTACATAGGAGCTGGGAGGGGGCACAGCCAAACTGGCCAAAGGGACATTCCATACCATGTGACGTCATGCTCAGTACATAAACTGGGGGAAGCTGGCCGGGGGGGCCCGCTGCTCGGGGACTGGCTGGGCATCGGTCGGCGGGTGGTGAGCAATTGTACTGTGCATCACTTGCTTTGTGTATTATTACTATTATCATATTATTATCATTATCATTTTATTTCAATTATTAAACTGTTTTTATCTCAACCCACAAGTTTTCTCACGTGCTTTTCCAATTCTCTCCCCCATCCCACCGGGGTGTGGGGGGAGTGAGCGAGCGGCTGCGTGGTGCTTAGTTGCCAACCGAGGTTAAACCATGACACCTACTCCTCACCCAATCCTTTTTTTTTTTTTTTGGCTTTTAAAAGCTAAATCTTGGAGTCTCACAGTTAAATAAAAAGACTCTTGTAACTTGTGAAGCACCAAAAGGACTGCTTGTAACATAATGTCAGGCCCTTGCCTCTACCTTGGGGCAGCTGGTGCTTCCCCACCACCACCAGACAGAAGCATCCCCTTCCCTACAGTCTGGCACAGCAAGTCCCAGGCTCATGTCACACAGCATCTATTCCCCCTTCCCACTGAGCTTGCACTCTTTTTGGGGAAACCTGGTTGAACCTCAGATTTGCCCTGATTTTGACCAAGGTATGTGCTGATTTGGAAGATCCTTTTCAAAAACATCTGTACAGCCCTGCCTCCACCATGCTTAATCACAAGAAAATCAGCAGAAGAAAGCACACCACTGACAAATCACAAGGTTTCCACAAAGATTTCTGTAACATTAGAGTTCCCAAGGTCTTGATTGTGCTTGAGATACAATAACGAATACATTCTCCACAGTGTAATTAGACAGAGTAATTCAGAGGGTAATCTAGACGTCTGTAGCTGTCCATGCAACTCAAACTAGTTGTCCATGCAACTCAAAAACTGCAAAACAGAGCTCCTCACCTCCCAAAAATCAGCATGTAAGGCTGAAAAATTAAACCTCAGCATTTTTGTCTTGGCAAGCATACAAAGCATAACTGTTATGATCAGTAGATGGCTGATATCCTTGTCCCTTCAAAGGACACGGATAGAAGAACTTCACAGAGTTCATACCTACCCCAATTCATGACCAATCCCTTCTCTTTCTCAATATTTGAGTGTCACAATGATTATCAGTCCCTTCCTAATTGGTTTAGATTTTTTTTTTTTGTTTTCCACTGCAAACCTAACCCACGTTGCTGGGAAACCAGGAAGATGACAAAGGAGGGCGCTGAGGATTGCTGCAGATGAGCACCTGAAGGTGTGTGGCAGGGGGATGAGCATGGGTATCTAAACATAGGCATTTACAGGGCTCTCCCCATTTCGCTCTCAGTGTAGTAGGGCTTTATTATTAGAAGTACAGGATGAAGTACAAGAGAATAAAACATACACAACTATCACATGAAACAGTAACTTGATAACATATAGAGTATTGTTAAATTATAGGTACATTAATTTTTGTTTGTGATTTAAACAACATTTTTGTATTCTTAGTTCCATGCTTGTAATAAAGGAAATAAATACGTTGTCTGAAACGAACCGTGGGATATGAAACATGGAACGTTCCTGGGAGAAAGATATAGACAAATTATATAAAGCATATAACAATCCAAAATTTCATAACACTCCTTAGAGTCACCACATGTGACAGACACTTGCTGTTAAGGGGCTAAAGTAAAGAGAAAAAAAGAAATCACTGCAAATTTGCTTAAAACAGAAAAAAAAGGGAATACTCTGTGACTACACACTTTAAATAGGCCACTAACTGTGAGGTCCTGTAACAAACCATGTTTTGGTCTTCGGTGAAGATTGGCGGACAGGAAAGCTCACTAAAGCAAAGTCCTAGAGCTCCTCTTTAGAGTATTCACTCCAGTTCCACAGTGGAAACCTCTATATTATTAATTACAAAGAGCTTTTCCAGGCAAGTCATTCTCTTGTTTGCATTTGCATAGAACTCAGTGCTTTGTGAACACAACATCTACTCATTACACTCATGGGCAAGTAACAAAGATGATTTATCTAACTCCCCAAATGAAATATATTTGCTGATCAAGGGCATTCATTTTGATCTGCTTCTGCAACACTAAGCAAAAACCAGCACATAGTTATCTCCTGCAGCCACCTCTTCTGGGAACCTTTCCCTCCTTTGGCATGGGCAGCCAGGAACTGTTCTCAGGGAGGTATGGACTGCTTAAAATCTGGTCTCTCCACCTACTGCTAGTCACCACAGCAGAGCTGACATTGTAAGAGAAATACCGGTCTGCTTCTTTTTGCACGCTGAAGAAAATGGTTGTAGTGTGAATATTCTATAACGCAGCACAGCTATGTGCCATTGGTGTGTAAGACAGATGGTTCCTAATCCTCTCTCTTAGACGAAGTTCATTTGTCATCCTCCAGCAGTAAAACCAAACCATTTATCTGTACAACCACTTGGCTGGCAGCTATAATTGCCAGCATCTTATGATATCTGATAAAGAGACTAAGGTCATGTTTCATTACCATGTACAGTAATAAGTTTATCTCCATGCACATTAGTAAGTTTATCTCACTCTTTTGACAGAATACGTCAAATTTCTATGTAGTAGAAATAATAGCAGTATCTTTCCTGTGCTACTGCTAGACAAGGGCCTGTGCAAGTCACAGGGTACATTACAGCACAACTAATTTCTAATTACCTAACTCACTATACCAGCGAACACTATGGCTGGCCAAGCTCCAAGCGATTTCACTGGATTTCATGTCATGTTTGTATTCAGCTGTGCATTTTCTGATTTAGATCTGTACACACAAGCAACAGTTGTCTTTCTTAGCCATTAGCGATGTTCAGAATATCCTTTCACTCTCAGCACACCTCTACTTCATTAAGATGACAAATACCAGCTCAGTCCCACTCCTCACTGAGCAACGAGATCCCACATGCTTGTGCTGTTTTCAGTCTTTCCACTACAAACCTGGAAGGAGAGATGAGGTTTGTAACCTGTCATGCTTTGAAGCTACTTCAGTAAAATGCGAGGAGAAGAGCCCTTCAGTGCAAAGAGCCTCATGCCACCAACCTCCTTTTCAAAGATCATAAATGCACAAGTTCTCTGAGTAGAAGAAGCCTCAGCTACAGAGAGATGCACAGCAGATTCATCTAACTTAAATCTGGGTCAACTAATACAATTGCCTAAGTGCAAGCATTTAGTGCCACTGATTACAGGGTATCCAAGATTTCTGCACATACCTGACAGACATGATGTAGGGCCTAAAGTCTCAAGAAGACCCACAACTTTCCAGAACTGCAGCTGGCAGCCAAGCAGGATACCCTAAGAAACTTCAAATAGCACTAGATGCCTATATGTGGGCAAATTAATGGGTAATAACTAAAAAAACCAAACAAACAAAAAAAAAAAACTTCTGGGATTATGCAAGCATAGGCTTCCTTTGCAGATGATTGAAAGAGACAGGTTCTTCCAGATCACAATTAATCTGATCATCCTAGATGAAGACGCTTTTCACAGGATGCCTGTCTTAGGATAAGAAGAATCATTCTTGGGGGTACCTTGCCTCAGCCTTTAGATCAGACTTAGACATCTAAAGACAGACATCTACAGGACTATTCATCGTCAAGGATGTGCTAGTGTTGTGGTCCAGCTATTCTCAAATATGTCACATGCTTTTTCCATGTAACCTCTTTGCTATCTCCTTGCCTTTTTCTTAAACAATTCTACAGATACACATCAATTCCTTTCTATCTCTGCAAATCTGTGTATTTGAAATAGAAAAGCTGAGCAGTAATCATCTACAAAATAGTAATCACTCTACAGATTAGAATAAAGTTATTGTTTAGACTTCTTTGCCAAATTTCTATTTGCCTTAGAGAAAGCTCATGCAAATAAACTAAGCTTGTCAATACCTGAATGTTTGATATCATAGAAAACTCCAAAATTGCAATTTCCTTTCATTCTGAATTGAACCTCAATTCAGCATAAGACCTAATTTCAGTATAAATAAATTATACTCTCTTTATGCTAATAACTGCCCAGTTTTCATTGCCAGACTTTTCTACTAACCATATGTTCAGCTACTTTATTTTTTTTAATCAGCATTTCATACAATACAAATTGTGGAAAATACTCCGTTTACATCAATCAGAATATTGACATGTCAATGAGCAATATTTGCTTGGATTTTTCTGGATTTTTTGGAGTACCTTGACAAGTATTATACATATCAGGCTGTGGAAATGGCAGCAGCTGCATGACAAGGAATCTTAGAGACATGCAGGCATTCCTAGGTGTTCAGGTGACCAGGAATGTGGACTATAGCACTATGGGCATGACTCAGAGACCATGGTGTGGTGTTCCTGAATAGCAAACTACCAGCTCTTTCCAGGAGAGCCCAACTGGGAAAAGAATACATGAAAGTACAGGTGATGAGTTGTGGGTTTTCTGGCTTTGGAAATGAATAGGCATCACTTGGGTGAATTAAAAGGACCATTAATTTTTTTTTTTAGTTTTTATCAGTGTTGTCTCCTATTTGTGATTCAAATCTCCATTATAAATTCAGCGAGGACTTTGTAATGAGTCTCTATGATTTTGCCAGAAATTACTAGTATTTAGAATTAAGGGAAGACTGTATTATAAAAGGGCACAATGCAAGTTCAAATGCACAATTCTTCATCTTTTTTAGTGAGAAGCACACATTTGTTACTGCCCCACTAAGTGCATTGCATTACATTGAGAAGACTACAAAGTTAAAAACATAGGTTTGCTATCACAAAATCAAATGATCTCATGATATGTTAATGGCTAAAATTTTTCCAGTCTTCTCTGGCTTTATTTATCTCGTTACTATACACAACATTGCCGCTAGATGTCAGATTATTAAAGGACTCCACTAGTCCCCACTGGTTAACAGATGAATTAGAAGAAAGCATTGCACAGGGTAAGAGGAATGGCTGGAATAAAAGGTAACTTTATTGATCTTTAGTTTTTGGCAGTATTAAATTACTGGTCTTCTGGGAAGAATCACACTGTTGTGACACACAAGAATACAGGAAATGTCCTGATGCCACCTTCTTCCTCTGGGCTTTTACACTGTTTTTAAAGCACCTTTCAAAACGGACCCTGATTCATTACAGGAACTCTTCAGCATTACCACAATGCTAACACTAAATAATAATAGAAAATTAAGACACAGAGCTTACCCAATGCAAATTAAAATCATACAAAGAAAAAATAAGTTATCAGGTCTAATTCCTTCAGTCAGTATAGACTTACCTATATTTACAATTCAGCTGGCTCAATGGCCTTGCCCTTCAACCCCATGCTTACAGCTAGATTACACTAACTATGGGGCTTGGTGATGAAACGTCATGCTATGTTTATATCCAACGAAGTTGGCAAACTGGACACTGTAAAGAAAAGGACACTTGGTACATCCTCTATGTCATGTCATGGAGTTGATGAATACTCTCCATAGCAGGTTAAGGGACTTTTTGCAAAGATCAGAGCTAGGAAGACAGCCCTGGACCACATCCTGGTACCCAACAGAAGGACCAGCCTTGGACCGTCAATCCTGCTCCTCTGTCATCATGGTCACAACCTCCCAGGACAAGAGCTAGAAAAGGGAGGGATGGGGAAAAGGCAATGTTCTGTGTAGAAGTACAGGACAAAAAAGCTTCCCACTTTCATCAGCATACAGGACAAGTTCTGTATTCTGTGATTACACCAGTTTAATCTGGTTGCTCTATCCATGTTTATAGGGAAAAAAAAAAGTGCTTCAGAGAACTTCATTCTCTTATATACCTTGTGTAAAGTGGAATAATGCAAATGAATTTTGGTCACAGTGAATGATACTAAAACCAAAGATGATGTCAGACTTATCCCTTCCTAACTATAGAGGGAAAGCCATGGGACAGAATGCACAAAACATTGAAATCATGAGTTAATTACTTGGGGTGAGAAAGGGACTTTAAATTGCATCAGAACCATGCTGTAACACTATTTCATGGCACTGCACAGCCTTATCCCTTCAGCTGAATGCTCTAAGTGGGCATGAATCATTGCGTTTGCACTACTGGATTTTCCAAATCTGATCCTAAATTTCCTTCCCAAAAGTGGCCAAATGATTCCTTTTCACCTGAGTCTTTCAGTAGCTGTTCATGGTCACAGCTGTAAAAAGATACCTTCTCTCATTATCTGCTTCCTAGGTTGATGCTAGGTTATTTTTCCTTCCAAAAAGAGGTGCCTCAGTATTCATTAAGGATAGAGTTTCTGAAACCCTATGTGGTGGGGGTTTCTTTCTCTTTCTTCTGCTATTATTTGCTACATCATCATGACTCTTATCCCTTTGATGGCCCACATGGGACCCTGGCACATGCTTTTGCCCCAGGGAAGGATTGGGAAGGGACAATCATTTTGACAACGCAGAGAAGTGGACCATGGGAACAAATGGTACATGGAAATACCTTACAAATTTTGCAGATTCAGGGACTTCCTATGAAACAATCCTTGAAATTTACATCCAGAAATCAGTCTATTCCTGAGCTACCTGGGGAGAAACAACATAAGGATGTGGGATATCAGAAATCCTACATTAGGGGATAAATTTGGGTTCAGTTTAGAAAGTGAATACTACGTGAACAGACTGATAAACCTTAATCCCAAGCAAACTCATTGAAACAAGTATAAAGAAAAGGATCTAATCTTAATCTTTCAAAACTGGACTAACTCAATAAATCCTGAAGGAGTTATTTCTGACCTATCATTGTGTAGTAGGAGATGGGAGAACAAAATTTGATCCACCATTATCTGTGACAATAATTTAATAAAATAGCACAATCCACAGTTTCTACTGCTGGCCACTGAGGATCAACATATATATATATAAACTCATTATGTTGTTTATTGTTGTGCTTTGCTAAGGAGCCATTGGATAACAGTTTCCCTGTTGTGTGACAGAAGGCTGTATGACCCTAATATAAGTGATTGTCGGTTTAATGCCAAGCTCATCCTGAAAAGTTTTGCAAGATCAGCACTGGAACATTTATCAGCTTGCACTGTGGAGGAGAAAAATCCTGAAATGTCTGTGGGACATGCTGGATCCTTGTCTTCAGTAGAGTAAATTAAGCAGCATCAGAGAAGTAATAATCTATACTGTTAAATTGCTGAAGAAGCAACCTGCATGTACCTGCCCTGTTTTGAAAGATAATTTTAGATAAAAGGAGAGTGGTTCCAGGCCTATTTATTTTATTAGTACAGTGATAGTCAGTATTTGCTCTTTGCACCTTGATGGCTTGCCACATTCATGTGGATAAGCATGACATGCCTGACCCTGCTTTCTTGTTTATATCATCAGGTTTTGTTCCCATCTGATAGGTTGTCTGTCATCCACCTGGGTCTTACCCAATCCTTTCCCCTTCAGGGTGCTCTGATAGCACATCTAGGTTTAGTAACCTTTCTTTTGGGAGCTGATAAGGAAAATAAACCTGACTTTTAGTTAGAAGTCAGAGATCCAACCTTAAAACCCTGTAAAAAATTGCAAAAGCCTTTTTTTCTGGATATTCCACTACTTCTTAATAGACTTTTTGAGAGCACATATTCTCAATCATCTCAGTCCTGTTTGGATGGGTTTGCTCGATAGTGCCACTGACATCTACTGCCATGGGAGGTCCTGTTCAATGCCTGCTGTTTGTCCAACCACGCTCTATAAAATCCTTCTTTACAAAGCAAACTTAAGGCTAATGTCTTCTATTACTGTGTCACCTGGTCTCTAGTCAAAATAACAACTAACTTTAAACATGTTCAAGGCATCTGGCAAGCCACTGTCTGCAGACCTCTCTGCCAAGCCTCACGCTCTTCAAAGCTCTGGACTATCTTTTTTCTAATCTGCCCCAGAGCTCAGCATTCATCTGCCTAATTTCAGCATCAGTATAGATTGCCTGATCTATAGGAGCCCAATCCCACATTATTTCTCCACTCCTTCAGTTTACCAGATAGGTCCAACTCCAGCCATAGATCACTGACCCAATTGAATGCATTCCCAAAGACACAAACATCACCACTTGCACGGATTGCTACTATCTCCTCCGAGTTTCTGTGAATGTTCACCAAATTTGGTCTTCTGAGATATGGGAAAAATTTACTTTTTCCAAAAATCAGTGTAAACTCAGAATCCTGACCCCTAACCCTCAGGTGGTAAGAAATACAATCATCTGCCCATGATGGAAATACCTGTGGTGGTTTTTTTTATTATTTAGGAGTTAATTTATTCACTGTTGCTGCCCATGAATTTGGACATGCTCTGGGCCTCAGCCATCCCACTGTTCCATCTGCTTTGATGTATCCTACTTACAAATACTAGTCTCCATTTGGATTTTGTTTGCCAAAGGAAGACGTGAAAGGGATTCAAGCATTGTATGGTACATTCTGTATACCTCTTAAAGAACGATCTACTTAACATGAAATGAAAAGAATTGCAGGCAGTTTCTTCCTCTTTTGATGCTGTTACAGTGCTGGGAAAAGTAATACTTTTCTTCAGAGATGAGTAAGGTTTACACTCCCTCTGTCATCCAATATGCTAGTCCCAACTAAAGAAATGTTTCGAGATGTTTTGCATGGTTTCTTTGTTTTGTACAGTTTCTCAATGTTTTGTATAGTTTCATTTTGGAATAGCTGAAATCTGAGTTTCTTTGTTGGCAATAAGCTTTTGGAAGAAACCAAAACTATATATTTTCTTCTTTCTTGTCCAGCTGTGATAAAGAGGATGAACACTTTTTTTCCTCCAAAGAGGTTAAATCATGTCTGCACTGAAGTCAGTCATAAATTCCTTTATATCTGGGAGAAAACTCTGCCTTCAAAGGATTACAATATCTTGACTAAAAAAACACTCTGAGAGTTGTATCTGGTCTGTGGGACAGGTGATCATTCCCTGCTAAAAAGAGTCCTTTGAAAGCAAGGACACAGTTTGACTCAGACTTGTTACCTCCTGAGCAGACACTTCAGTGGCTGGGGAGGGTGAAGATGGATGCACGACTCTTCTGTGAGAGCATCAATCAAATTATCACTTAGAAGAGGGCAGCAAATGATTTCTTGGATCCATTTCAGCTCAAGTTTACAGCAGAAATCCCAAACCCTAATTCTTCTGCTGAGCTGGGACAACTTGTCCCTCTTTGCTGGCCTGCCACTTCAACTACTGCAAAATCAGGGACCAAAGGGACAGAGAACCTCTTCTGCAAAAAAATTTAAAGTTCTTTCAGATAACAATCAGTCAGCATTCTGCTTAAAGCTGTGGCAATCACTGTTTCCCTTCGGCTTTCCAGTCTTAAAACAGTCAGCATGTTTGTACCATTTTGGAGCAACAGTCCGTTGAAATCCCATGTACTGCAGCCACACTTCACCACAGCCTACCATGCCATACAGGAGTAGGCATGTAGGTAGGGAGTCATGCAGGATTTCACTGGACTTGTGCCTTAATAGCGCTTTGCCAAAAATAATGATTGTCAGCAAAATACTTTGGAAAACAAAGAAAACTTCCTAAAATAAAATGTAATTTATGTGATTTTCATTTTTCATCAGGAAGTGAAAAATGCCCCAGATTTCATAAATTGGTTGCCATATCCTTTGTGGCCTGTGAGTCATCTCCTAGATCTGTGGCAGGAAGAATTTATTTTTAAAAAGTTTTTTATTACCACTCAGTCTTTCATTCTGAGGCTCATAGAGAAGATACTGCCTGCAAAAACGCCTGGCAGACCAGAGGTAACATGATTGCAGCTGGACTAATGCATTAATCAGTGCTGGGGACTGATCTCCAGCTGTAGATCTAACCAGTATGACCAGATCAGAGAGAAATCATAAGACTGATATGATGAGGCTACTAGACTGAAGTGTATAAGATGGCATTTCAGATGGAGCCTAAAGCCTAAGGCTACATCTGTAGCAGGAAATAAAATACAATTGGTACCATTCTCTGACATGGAGGCCAACAGGCATGAAACAGCTCATGGCCATGCTATTTAACTCTCTTAATCTCTGAGATAGGTTGGATACATCCAAACTGGTTATTTGGAATCGTCCCTGACCCATGATATATCCTGAATAGTGCCTGGGAACCATTCAGTGGGTTGGTCCAAAATGAAACCACCCAAGAGCCACTCCAGCAATTTAGCAGTACAGAGGATTGAGATCTAGCGCTTGGGAATGTTTTTCGGTACCACAAAATTTACTAATACCAACCATAGCCTGAGCATCCATCCGTCGCTCTTAAACTCCATGGAACACCAGGCTCACAGATGCCAGTGCAGCAGCTTCCAGTGAGGCCCACAAGGCAAAATGCTTTCTGCTCTTCTCACCTAGTCTCCTTCCTTTTAATTTTATGCCCATTTAGATAGTTCCCATTTAATTTTATGCCTGGCAGTCTGACAAGAGAATTTAGATTACTTTGACAAGAATTTGAATTAGAGTTGCAGCTTCTGCAACCATTTCACAAGAGGCAACATAACGGTGGCTTACAGGCAGCCACAACAGCACAATAAAAAAGGGAAGAAGTTATAAAACAGGATATCCTTTGGACACTGTTACTGCTCATTCAAAACAGATGTGAAACATTGGTCTAGTGGTAGGATGAACAGACACAAGATTACCTTGGAGAGCTGTCCCAGTAAAATTGCACAGAATCTTTTTAGACAGACCCACAAAAAAGCACATGCATATATATATATATGTATGTGTATATTTATGTAACTTTGAGAAGGATCCAGCCAACATACTGCAGAGGTGCTCTGTGTGTGTGGTAGTTGCACATGGGCAAGCTGCGCTCAGCACATCTGTAGCCCTTTGACTCTCTTCTGTTCCTCTTCCCACCCCACACAGCTTTCATCAAGGTAGCTATGGGTTTACTATGACCAAGGCAGCAGTCCTTGTTGCAGTAAATTCAGTGCAGATTTTCTATGGCCTCTTCTTGATAGATTCTCTATAGAGTAAATCTGTTTTCTGCCTGCCAGATGAAAGTCATGCAAAATCAATCTTTTACGTATGTTCCACTTGCATCATGTGTTCAGATGCAAGCATGGAGGAGGATGCTTTCTTGACCAGAACTTTGTGCTGCCCCAGGCTATCTATCATGAAGAGTCTTGGGCTAGACCATCCTAGCAGCAGATGGTGAAGAATAGGCAGGACATCAGTGGGTGACATCCCTTTCACGTAACCATAGATATCTATTATACAGGTGATGACATGAAAGTTAATCCTTAGTGTCAGTGCAGAGAAACAAGCACTTTTGGGGGGTGAGCTGTTTCATTCTAAAACAGACAGCTAAACTCAGGAGACATTAATCCATACTTGACATCAAAACCTACTTCTGACAGTATGACAAAGACTCATGCGTGATCTACATTAGTGTTCTCCTTGTTGCTAAGTACAACTTTTTTAATCTCTTCATTTGAAGGGAACACAAAGTTGAAGCTGGCAAGGAAGTCACTGCATGTGCCATTCATCAAAGCACAGCCATCTACAATACTGCAAGGTTCACTGACCATTCCTTCCTTTCCTCAGCTCATGTTAAATGTTGTTGCTGCTTATGAAGTTCCTGAGAGGGGTTTGGTTTATTTTTTCAAAGGTCAATTATTTCGGGGGAAGGAGAAGGAAAAAAGAAAAAGGAAAAAAAAAAAGAGTAAATTTGTTTAGCAAAGAAAAAGCTCTCAAGCCTACTGGTCTCTTGGAAGATGAACACAACTGTCCATAACTTAGATCATTAGTTTGGCTGACTAGAGTACAGATACAACACTGAGAGTGAGAATCTCTAAAGCTAACAGTCGATTCAATGTCTTTTTGTGTGGATCAGTCTGCTGGAGAAAGATGCAACGGTTAAGGTTATTTTTAGCAATCACAACAGGGAAAGAAACCAAATTCAAGAATTTCCCAATTCATTAAATGAGGTGTTTTAGCATTTGAACTATTTTCTATTAATTTCCATGGAAAAGTGAAACATTTTTAATCAAATCCGAGGCCTTTTAGGGCTTTAGATAGCATCAGTCAGACCCTAAAGCTATAATAGGAAAGCCAGTGTTCAACCTGGTCTGCACTGGTGGCACAAAATCCCATGGAAATACATCACCAGTTGCATCATGTAGTAGTTTTATTTTCTTTTATGCATCGTAGCAGTGGCATCTTTTTCCTTCAAATTCAGATTTAAGAACCGTATCTGCAACTGCACTGCTAGGAAACCAACAATTTTTGTATATCACCTTTCCTTTTCCAGGCCCTCATTACTGGGTAACTCAAGGATTTCAGATGCAGAGCCCCCCTTGCACCATCTCTGACTTAGGGTTTTCCAAAAAAGTGCAGCACACTGTTGCAGTGGACTACCTAAAGGCTGACAAGGAGATGCTCTTCTTTGTGGGAGATGAATATTACACACGCAGTCATTACTGTCTGATTCTTTTGGACTGTACTTCTGGAAAACAAAGATTTTATTTTTCACTAAGGAAATGCAGACAAACTAAAAGCGTTGGAAGGGTGGGATACGTCTGACAAAATGTAGACATCTACAATGTATATGTCTGCATTTGAGTATTTCAAGCAAGACTCCCATTAAACTCAGTCTGGACCCGTGATTTACTCCAATCTCTGAATTGTAATTTAGAGGGTGCCTCCACTGAACAGAGCTAAAGCCAGAGATTGCTCTGCCACCTCTCCAGCCTCCCCAAGGCTGACAATTTCATATGTGGAGTGAGATACACTCTCATGCCATGGTTAAACACAAAGCACAGGCATGGTTCATCAAATCTTGGCTCCTGCAGTTTCAGAGGTATCAATGTTTAGAAGATCCACAAAATACTTATCCCATATTCTTCCAAATAGTACAAGGCACAAAATAGTCCTGAAATAAACTGTTCAGCTAAAGATCTTCTGTAAATACCAAGCCACACCAGAAGAAGAGAGCAAGAGAGGTCACAGAGATAGCCTGTCTTAGGCCCTTAATCAGCAGAGAATGTGTTAGATACATGTAGTAGACCCCTTCTTACCACGAGCACCTTTTCCACCCTCACTACTGCTCTTTCTCTCTCCAGGAAGGTGCTGGGGAGAAATAGGCAGAGCCCAGAAGCCAGTATAATCAAACCTGCATTTAAAATAGAATTAATCATCCTTCAAATTTTCTAGCTCCATCTAAGTAGAAGTGCAATTTGAAATACTTGCAATAGTTAAGGAAATAAAGAATAAAAATATCTTAAAATTGGTAAAATGATAAGACAATCAGTGAAAAAACAACTACATATTTTCACATCTTTACCTTCCTAAACAATTTCAATTTTTTTATCTCTTTTATCTAACATATTGTTTTTTTTCTGACCTGTCTGAATAATTTTAATTTGCTTTCTTTGCTTTTACTAATGAAATGGGAAAAACAAATGGTAACTGAAAATTGAAAAAAGAGGCAGTTACTAAAAAAAAAATATAAATCCATGGCTTTTCCAAGAAAAATTTTCTGGAAAATTGTGACCCACCTATCTTAAAATCAGCTCACACTTTCTAAGCAAATGAAATAAGGATGCAGAGTGAAAGCAATATTATTACAGCTGTTCAAACCACTGAGCAAACACATTGATTCATTCTGAAGAAACCGTATTCAGAAAAGCTATAAAATCTTCATAGGAGGTATTAAATTCATTTGACTTGATGAATACAGAGCATGTGTATTTTCTGGCATAGGCATGGGTAATAAAATAAATACGGATGAACTAAACCACTACTGTAGTCAGTACATTGCATAGTTGCTATGGAGAGCATCCAACTTTCCTTGAAGATTAACATTAAAAGTAGCATCAAAGCTTTTAATGTGATTTTCCATTTTATTGACTTAACAGTGGGATACTAATCTCAGAGAAAACCAACCATGAGTTGGTTTTCATGAGCCTTTTCTACCAGTCCTAGAAAATTTACATTATCCTAAACCTAATGATGTTTCTTGAGTTTCTATAGCTTTCTTTTCAGATCAAGCAGTTTCCTATGGCTCCCTATAGATTTTCTACTTATCACATTTAACCAAAATCTTCAGACATTTCTTTTTCTGGCCTACGTAGTCCATACTTTTTAAGGTATGAGAATGTCTAACTGCATCCATGCAGACTGTATTATGTAAACTGCACAATCCAAGTGAAATTGCCTGAAACCAATTGCATAGGTGAGGAGTAAAGGTTAGTTAGCCATAGCAGGGCTACTGGGAGTGAGCAAGTGTAAAGGTTGCATGCTTTCCTGAGGGAGAGACAGCAGAAAGAGGCAGGAAGGAGTTGTTTATTATCTTATTGCTCCTCATACACCACCGATAAGCTGAAAAGAGCTGCCTCTGCCCACTTTCCGATATCGCATATTCAAAGTCCTCTATCAAAGGCACTATTTAGATCTCATTTATTGATTGCAGTGAAGAAGTCTTGCCATTCCAAGTACATTTTCAAAAGTATGAAAAAAACAGCATTAACGCTGGTCCATTTATAATATTTGTGTCTTATTCCAAAGCTAGGATGAAAAGAAAAGAAAGATGGGAAAAGACTATTCAAAAAGTATTCATAAAGATTTCAGAGGAATCAGTAGCAAAGTAGATGCAGCACTGGAAGTGAATGGTGCGTATTTAACTACACAGCGAACAGGCCTGATCCTGCCAGTCTATCCTCTGTGGAAGTAAGGAAGTTAATATAAGCACAATGTCTGTTTCCAAAAATAACATTTTTATTGATTTCTTTCTGTGATCAAACTGAATGAGATTTCCTGTCCAGCTGCTTTAACAAAGACTTTGGAATGTATCAGCTCCACACCCAAGCCATGAAATTATCACATGATTTCAAATCCCAAGATACAATTCTGCATTTAGTTTAGCTTTTTTCTCCATGTTAGTTTTAAATTCTCTCCAGTTTTTTGCTGACAAAACCACAGCACACAAAACCTATGAGATTTCCATTAGGAAAAAGTTGTCTACATATTTATTGCACAAGTAAAAAATTACCTTTTTGAGTCTTGAAAAATGACTTGAAAATCTCATACAATCATAACTCCAACAGTTTCCCGAATACTAGACTTTATAGGAATACCATACTGCTGTGACAAGCAAGACTGGGAAATTCCTGAAGTTTGTTGAAGATAATTTCTTGTCACAAGTACTCAATGAGCCAACTTGGAAAGATGCCATCCTAGACTTGTTATTTGTGAATAGAGAAAGACTCATGGGAGATGTAATGGTAGGTGGCTCTCTCGCCATAGTGATCACAAAATGATTGTGTTTAAAATTTTTGGTGTAATGAGAAAAAAGGTCAGCAGTGTTGCTATCTTGACTTTCAAGAGAACAAACTTTAGGCTGCTTAGGGAGCTACTTAGCAGTGTCCCCGGGAATCTGCTTTGGAGGGCTTAGGAGTCCACAAGTGCTGGTCAGTTTTTAAGAACAACCTGTTAAAAGCACAGGAACAGGCAATTCCATTGTGTCGTAAGTCAAGTAAGCAGGGCAGCAGACCAGCTTGGCTGAACAGGGATCTCCTCATGGAGCTCAAGAGGAAGAAGAAATTGTATGATCTCTGGAAGCAAAGTCAGGCTTCACAGGAAGATTACAGAGCTGTGGTTCGCATATGCAGGGGGAAGACATGAAAAGCCAAAGCTCAACTAAAGTTGAAACTGGGTAGTGTTGTGCCAGGTAACAAGAAAGGCTTTTTAAAGTATGTCAATAGCAAGAGGAGGTCCAAGGAAAACAACAAAGCTGGTGAAAGGGCTGGAAGGTATGTTCTGTGAGGCATGGCTAAGGACACTCAGCTTGTCTAGTTTGGAGAAAAGGAGGCTGAGGGGTGACCTCATGGCTCTCTACAGCTTCCTGAGGAGGGGAAGTGGAGAGGGAGGTGCTGATCTCTTCTCCCTGG